TCTCACATAAAAAACAAACAAACTACTGGATCAAAATTTTGAAAATCTGTATGCACTACGCAGATGAAGAATGTGAGAAGGACCCTGCTGGATCATACCAAAGACCAGTCTGCCCAGCTTTTGGTTTCCACAGTGGCTCACTAGTTGCCTTTGGGAAGCCCCCATACAAATCATGAGGGCAAGAGCTGCTGCTACTCACCAGCATACAGTGTGTTGAAATAAGGTTCTGTGATCACAGTAAGTGTTGTTGAATGGCTCTTCTGGCTTTATAGAGTTTTGCTGCATTCCTCCAAGCACACCTGTGAACCGTAAATGATGGAAGCCTTCCCCTCTCCTTTTTAATGGAAGCCGAATGTTACATCTAAGACCAAATTCTGTGGCTCTGCATTTTTCCCGTGGACTTGTTGCAGACAAACATCCTTACATATGCAGCTTTTCTGGCTGCTTACAATGGGGAATGAAACATGTTTTTAATCCTACTTAAGAAGGTTTTTTATGCCAGAGTCAGCATCTTGTGTGGTTAGTAAATAAATGCCAGGGTCCCCTGCTGAAGGCTTTCTTGGGACCTGCATCTATCTGTCTGCCTTTTTTCTGGTTCAGCAGAGCAGACAACCTCAGACAATTTGAAATGTCAGCCCTTTAAATTTCCCAGAATCTCCCATTTAGCATCATTATGAATGCCAGGACCCAAGGTTCCTATAGCCTACCCCCACCCCACTACTGGGTAGAAGCCTCTGACAAAGACTTCTCCCTGTTGGAGGAAGATGTGGCCAAAGATGTCTCTCCTGTACCTGGGACCAGCCTGCTTCCTTCTGGAGGAGGCCTCATTGTCAATCTCAGGTTCTGTGATCACACATTGCAACCACACCCCAGCTGCAGTGTGCAGTCATAGACAAAAAAGACATGGCTTCTTTTAGGGAGGAGGTCTCTTGCAGTATGTATGAGGAACTAGCAGCCTTGATGAAGTCCAAGTACTATTTAAGGCTCAGATTGTAAAGGGTTGAGCTTGTTTGTCTTTCAGCCTGGGTCTTCCTGAAGCTCTATTCTGTAGTGCTCTCCATTTCTTCATTTCTCTTATTGGTGTCTGCTCTTGGCTTTGTCTGGCCTTCCTTCTGGACTCTTCTCTGTACTCAGCAGGACTTATAGCCTGAAATGGTACACTGAGGCATTGTGAGAAATCAAAAGGGTAGTTAGATACCGCCACTCGGTGCCACTTCAAGTGTAGCTACAGCTGATTGGCACACTCCCACCATAGCCCCATAAATGTTTTTGTGCCCATCAACAGTGAATGCCACCCTGAACAAATCTGGAGTTGGCCTTGCTTTACACTTCCAGTAAAGACCACCAAAAAGGAGTGGTGTAGCTTTTGTCGCACATACTTCTCAGGCCTTTTCAAAAGGAGCGCTGCCATGCTGTCTGTAGAAAACACAATTGCGGATGTGAAAACGTAACTCTGCAGGACAGTTGTGGCACTGAAGATGGGTGAGGTTCCACTCCTGAAGTTGTTTAAGGATTGCTTTCTAGATTTTGACTTATTGCAACAACATGGGTAGGAATTTTGTACTGTGATAATACGCTATTTCTTAAAATGCCAGTAAAATGTGCTTTACAGCATAAACCATAAAATTAAAATTGACAAAACTTTGTCCTCAAGCTTACACACAAGGAAAAGAAAGGATCTGGGAGTAAGAAAAGATGCAAGAGAGGAGGGGAAACCTTCCTTTCATTAGCTCTTGTAAGGTAGTAGCAGTCCTAAACACACCAGGAAATAAGCACTGCTTGAAACTAAACTGATGTCTGAGCAGACATGCATTTACTTTTGAATCCAAGAAAATTTGGCTTATGAGAGGGAAATGAAAAGGAAATTGCTGGTACTTGAGATTCTGCAGCTTTGGCTTGGGTTACTTGCCAGCCTTCATGTGCGGCCATCAGCCATTACCCCTGGTCTTCTGCAAGCCCCTTAGGAAGGTGAGGGCTTTCATTCACGGCTGCTGCACTGGGATGCTTCATGCTCCTCAAGTCTCACCCTTGTAAAGAATGTCGTCCCAATTTAGTGTACCATCTTTTGGCTGATAGACACTGTTCTAAAGAGCAGTAGGGATACTTGGAGCTCCAGCCTTGATTTTAGGAAAGTATGCTGGGACTCTGAAGCAGGGACTCCAGATTCAGAGTGTCCTTTCTCCACCCTTGTTGCCAGGGTGCAGAGATGCAGCCCCTCAGAAGGCTCTGGGAGAATGCAATCCATGCCTGAACTCTCCTCCTCATGAGAAATGGAAGAAGGCCTACTTGGCCAAAATGGGCCTTCTAAGTGTTTTGGAGGTTGAAGGAAATGTGGAAGCATTCTTTCTTCTCTGCTTCTTCCACTGCCAGTTTGGAGCAACCATATTAGATGCTGCTTTTAGACCATTTGACTATAGCTAAGAAACATCTTGAATCGGTTTATAGCATAAAAACATTTCCTAGGGGTAATTACCTGGGGACAAATGTTTACAACTTGAGAGTACTGAATCTGACTGGCATTGTAGTTATGTTACTAATTAATTTGGTGTTTTTTGGAGGAAAATGTAACTGCAGAAACTCCCATAAAATTATCTGTTATGGAAAAACTTCTTTGCCACAGTAATGTTTGGTATTTTTCACTAAAGATGGGACCTACTGTGTAAGTATGGAGACTGGAGTTTAGTCTGGGGCTAGCTGTGACTGTTACCAAGCTTATAGGACCCTGAATTACAACTACACAAAGTAAAAGAGACCAGTTGTGTCTTTTCCTCCAATCCCCCCACCTCTTAGTGGAACGTGAGGGCATTGGTTTCTTGGCCCATTACTGGGACCCATTCTTCTGATAATTTGTTGCTAGCAAAAGAGGAGTTGCCTGTGGCAAGATAATTTATAGATTCTAGCTGATAGGCTTTTACATGGGTAGGAACTTGGAAATGCATTTTTACTGTTACTTTATGTCCAAAATGCATGCTTCACTGGTCAGTATGTTCATATAAAGAAACTTCTGTTAATCTTTGCTTGGGCTCTTTGTCTGCACTTGCGTAAGAAGTATGTTGTAGCTCATCTCTGTTATTATATTTTTTAGTTTTCTTTGCTTTCTAATTATTTCTGTTTACAGAATGTCACCATCTTTAAGCAACACTCGCAAGCAACATTCACAGTGACCTTCTGATTTACTTTAAACTAGTTTCAGCTGATTCCTTGATTAATGAGATTGTACTTCTAAAGCACATAAGGGCATTTGGTTTTCCATATGTCTAAATTCAGCTTTCATCAGCAATGCTAATACAAAACAGGAAGGAGAGGGGTTAGAATAGGGGTAGGCGAGCTGTTTTCTCCAAGCACTAGTATACTCCAAAACACCTTTATTGACACCCACCAAGGTGTCCTACATGGGAATGTAGGAAAAATCCGCAACAAATTTCTGTGCATCCAACCTGTGGATTCCAAGGTGGACTAGATGTCTACAAGCCATGCCAATTTGCTGGCCATTTTTTAATTTTTGTAAGGGATTTTTACCAATGTGCATTTGTGCCAGTGCACACTCACACAAGTGCACATTTGCTCTAATTGAAAAATCTGATTCCATCGAGTGAGTGGAGGATGGCATGTTAGGTGCCTGACAATCCGTGAAACATAGACGGAATGTGTTTAACAAAATCTGTGCATTCCTAGTCCTTCCCTTTCTCCTTAATTTTTTCAACAAATTACTGGCAGCTGGGATCACTTCAGAGTAAGAACCTGTGACCATTGCCATCTTAATTTCCTATTAACATCTTTGGGCCATACCTCCTAACAATGGTCTTCCAACAATGGATACATGGGTTCAGAAAATTAACCAAATTAGGATGGTAGAGGGCTGCAGGCCTTCTTTTGCAGTACACCCAGTTTTTGTGCCCAACCTATGCTTCGGAATTACACTCAGTCTTTCTGGTAAGTTTTTGACCTTTATGATTGCCCCCTCCTCCCATGGCAGCTGTTCTGTGGTGGTGCTCGTGGGGTTCTCAAATGGCCAAATGCGCTTAAGAAGGTTGCCTATCCTTGGGTTAGAAGACATGAGAAGGCATGTTCATTCTTTTGTCGTGTGTAGCAGGTTCTTACAATTCTATGTATGGTAGGGGATTCCGTCAGACCACATTTAGGTAAGAAGGCAGCCCTAGGATGCATGGTTCTATGAATGTACAAGGAAGAACCTGTGACATGCAGGATCTAAACTGCTGTGGTATGTGGACATGCGTTACTGTTTGTATCACGTTAGACACACAAGAAACCCTTGAGTGTCCTATACACTTGTAAGACTTGGTGACTCTTCTTAAGGTTGTAGGGTAAGCATGCCTGCAATATACTGGGCTTGTTTTGAGTTTAAAATGGGTTAAAATAACAACTGATGCTGCAACATCCAAGCTATTCTGGAATCTAGAGACAACAGATTTTGTGTTTCTCCAAAGAGCTTGAGGCGGCAAATGTTTAGAAGAGGGAAGCCTTTGTTGGTGGATTTGAATGTAAATTAAATTACAGCTGATGATAAAGAAATTCCATTGCGTAACCTCTCTCTTCATATTACTAATAAGGCTGACTGGAACTTATGCAAATCAACAGTAAAAGTGTATTCCAATGTTCAGGTACCCATTAATTAGTTTACTATGAATTAGTGAACTAATTAGGGCCATTCTTATGACTAAATTGACATCACATGTATGTGCAAGTAGATTTGTGCTAAGCTTGGTATATGGTATTTATTCCACTTTATGGCAGGATTCTGTATTTGTCATGCTTTTACCTGGAAATTCATCCCGTGAGTATTCTTTACTCTGGGGTAGGCAACGAGGTGTTTTCCAGATGCTTTAGACTATAACTCCCAGAATCCCTGGCTATGTGCCATGCTTGCTGATGATGGGAATTGTAGTCAAAACCCATCTGGAAGCCCACAGATAGCCAACCCTTGCTTATAGTCAAGCTGAAAGGAATCTCTTCTAATCAGTATTGAATGTTTTGTGCAGGAGAACTGGAAGACAAGGAAGATGATGAAAGCACTGACAATCCGTCATTAGCATCTGACCGATATGATAAGGAGGATGAAGGCCCCTCGGATGGTAAGCAATTCACTGTATCTCAGGGTTGCAGTGGTCCTGCGGGCCCCGTTTTTTGTGAACTGAACTGCTGTATGTCTTGGGAAAAGGGCAAACAGGAAACCGTTAGGAGACATGTGGAACCTTGTTTCCTACCATCACAAGCCTGGTACAGAACTGAAGAGCTCTCTCTAGTGGTGAAAAATGCAGAGTGATTTTTTTTTTTAAATGCACACACTGTTGACTTGTTTTTCTGCAGGACCAAAATAGATTCCTCACAGTTTCCTCTCCTCCTTCTCCCACATGAGTCAGTGTTTGAAATATATTGAGATGTTTTCTTTAGAACAAATCTTTTGTTAATTCAGCATCAGACCCTGGCTTAATTTTATTGTGCTGTGTGGCTGGCTCACTGTGTTTCTTGTATAAATAATGGAACAGTATATTTGATGGATTTCTGGGGGAGGAGCAAACTCCAAAGAAGAATGAGTTCATAAAATATTAAATCAATTATTCTTAAGAAGTCTTTCAATTAATCTGCTGACTTTTATAGGCTGATTTCACATTCAAACCTTTTTTGGCTCTAACCCTCTGCCCTGGTTCTGAGTTTATAAAATTTTAATCATTTATACATTGTTTCTGAAGATGAGCAAATGAATACTGAGGTGGTTGCATCATGGCTTGTAATAGTTATTGGTTATACCTGAAAAATTGCCTCTCTATCTAGATAACAGTATGTATTGATTGGTGTCTCAAATGTAGACCTGGAAGTAAGTAATCTTTTTTCTTTGCTGTACAATGATCAAACTGCGCCACTCTACCTCCATTGCCAAATGAAAGTATGCTCCCTGCAACACGCTACTCCACATTTTATGATACTCAAAGTATTCCCTTTGGAAACATATATTGTTTTTATGAGGTATAAAATTATGTCTATTGCAGAACAGGGATAAGTCAAATATGTGCATAAGTGATAAAACTTCTAACAACTGATTTGGAATACAGGATCTTTATATTCTTAGAACTCTGTTACTGTTACACAATTTACACAATCAAAGTTCAGTTCTGTTGAACTCACATTATGCTAGGAAAAAGGAAAAGCTCCTCATTTAATAACAGTAATAAAATAAACTTTTGCTTTTGGCCATCCTTTAAAAATGATGCATTGGCAAAAGAACAGAAATTTTAGAATGATTCTGCCCCCACCCCAGGCATTAAAGCTGAGTTATTTCCATACTAACAAATGTTCTACTAATAGTCCATTTTGCTTTGTTTTATGGCTATGGCATAGACAACATAGCTACAAAAATGTGATGAATGTTTTGGTCTTGTTTGTTAAAGGAGAAAATGGTTTTCATTTGCAAAAGTGACTAGTGAATCTGCAGTACTGTGCTGATACCTGAGCTTGTTCTCTTGCCTATGAGTGCATGCGCATGCACAGTTTAACCAGTTTCCAACAGCATTTAAAAATTAATTCATTAAATACCATTTTGAAATTAAAACAATCGCACAAATCAGGATAGTTTAGAACAGCCTTTCCTGACCTGTTTCCTTCCCGATACGTTGTACAACAGTCAGCATCGCCAAGCTGGGATGTTCATCACATCTGGAAAGCACCTGGTTAGGAAAGGCTGCTTTACATCACCCAAAAGTGTGTGTGTATACACAGCAAGAAAGAGGAAAAGCTAGGGGGCTATCAAACAAACATTAAAACCCACATTAAACCTGAGACAAGAGATATATATAATCACATGTCAGTGATTAAATTCTTTCGAAATAAAGTGATCTTTGGGTGGTGCCTTAAAGATAGTAACTCAGATACAAGGTAAGTATCCCTGGAGAGGGAGTTCCACAAGTTATGTACAGTTGTGTGATGTAAATTGTAATATGGAATGTGCTGTTTCTGTTTCGGTTAGATAGCCTTTCTTTAATCAGTATGACTTGCAGTTTATGGCATTTAGTTAATAAGCATTGGTAACAGCTGTATGGGTAACTTACATTAATCTTTAGGAATCAAACAGATCACTAAGGCATCTATGTATATAGCAATGAATTTTACTTGTGTAATCTTGTGATTGTTTACTCAGAAATTAGCGCCATTTGCATTCAACAGGGCTTAGCCCCAAAAAGTGTGGGAGGTTTGCAGCCTTAATGTTCCCTGCTTAAATTAAGCTTCTTATCTTTTTTACAGACTATTTTGAGTTTAATAGCTTACGAGGTAAAGATGGTAGTTTAAAAATGCAGGTATTTCATAAAAATATTCCCAAACTGAGTCTCTGTTACAGCCTGCTGCCATTATACATTTTCTTCCCCAGGGAAAGAATAATATGATACACCTCAGGCTATGCACAAAAGATCCAAAGACTTTGGAAGGAATCTGCTCAGAAGTTTTCATTGTCATTTTTACTGCTTGCCCCTCCTTCCTCACACTTAGCTTCTTGTGCAGATCTACTCCACTCCCAACAACCTTTTTCTATTCATTGAGTTTTTTTTTTAAACTTAGCACTTAACTGGTAAGGGGTTGAATCTGTGTACATAGATTTGCAAAGGAAAAAATGGGTTAAGGTCTTTTTTCAACAGTATGTTTATTTTATAACACTTGCTGTGACGAAGAGCCATGCGATCTTTTCAGACAGATTCAAAGTTTTGAGAACTGTAAAATCAAGCATCTGTGATAATCTCGATAGAAAAACTGCCCAGTAGTCTTACGGAAACCTGTGGAAGAGCATGACATTGTGAATGGATTAATGGAATTCATCTACCAAAAAATTTAAACACTTCCTGAATATACAGCCTCATGCTATATAATTACAAACTAATCCTTATTTCATGATGAATTACCTTTGGACTATAATGTGTCTTAAATATAAAACTCTATTTAGATAGATTTTGCCTCAAAAAGCATTTGATTAAAAAAATCCAATTTAATTTTTTTTAAATCTGATTTTTTATTAAAAATCATTTTTATCCATTTATTCCATATTAATGCCATGAAAAACCAAAAAAATTGGGAAAATAGCAAACGATGTAGGTGTAATGAAAGATGGCAGTTGGAGAAAACTGTAACTCGCTTACAAGGGTAATTATCTTGCTTTTAAATACGATTTTTTAAAAAGAAATTGTGCATTTTTGAGGATCTGAAGTAGGGGATGGGACGGATTCTGCTGCAAAGTTCCCTGAAATGTGTGCAGGGATCAGCTGGATGACAAGCTGTGGCAAGCCTGATTTCCTTCAGGTGTACAGTGGGTTGTTCTGAGAACAAAACACTTGCTGTGCTGCTGGTTTGCTTAGGGAGACTTAGCATTGTTTGCAAACCTGCCATTTAAAGCAATCATCTTCTTTGTTACCATGAAGTGTTTGTATGTTTGGTGTAATATTTAAACATCTGGCTTCTACCTGACCTTTGTCTAATATTAATTAAAGGAAGAAAATGTTAACAGTAAGCATTTATAATGAAGCTAGCATGGATCACCCTAAGCACTTTTGGTCTCATATTTTTTCTGTCCTTTCTGCTGTTATGTGGTAAGGCATGAACTCAGGACTGAAATGGATTATATATTGACTTTTGCATGTATGCATTTAAAAATTGGTGTAATTTTTGTAGGTTGTGAAAAATGTCAATGTCTGCCCAACAATTGCAACACATATTTTAAAATTAGCCCCATTCTCTTTGTTTTCTGACACATATCCTTTCCCTGCCCCGTCTCCTTTGTTCAGAGTTCATTCAGTTCTTCTATGGCTAGCCAGTCTCCCAACTCATATGTGTTTTGATTTGCTTATTTTTTTAATGTACTGTGGGGAAGTACCGTAAGTTATCTTCTAATCAAATTCAGCTATATTGAAATGATGCTTTGACCTGATTGCTGACAGCAATTTAATTACAAGAAGAAAATAACAGAGAGGTCATAGGCACCTTACAGAAGGAGAAAGTAGAGGGAAGAATCGCCCAAGAAGGCACCTCAGAATAAAAGAAGATGTAGAATTTGTGGCGAATGCACTCTTCCTGGCTGGTTTTATTGTATTGGCTTCCAGCCTGATTGATAGCGAAATCATAACTTGCTATATGCTAACAGGCAGAGTTCACTTGTAGGTTATTGTGAACTGATAAAGGGTTAGATGGAGTTTTGATTTTCACAGTGGACCCGGCTGTACCAGATTAATGGAATTTCAATGAGAGGCTGAACTAGTTGTAGCTTTGTCAGAAAAACTGATGGAGATTCTATAGTCATGCCTGCTCATTAATACCAGTTGTCTGAAAGGTGTGGTATTTCCCTGCACAAAAGGCTCCGGATAATTGATTTTTGAATAGAATTTTATTTATTTATTGATGACTGGGTTCCTTGTAAAACAAATGACAGCCTTATGTATACTACAACCATGTTGCACATTTGTTGTTCTTAATAATTTTGTGGCAACAAGTAGACCTTGACCTGACTATATTAACCCCTTGACAGACTTGGAAATTGGAGTGGGGACAAATGGTGCATGATTTTATATGTAAATCATACATCGTTAGCAGTATTGCTGTTTTTCTTGAAGAGATGTTCTTATTGAGAAATTGAAGCAGATTTCTGAAGAACATATTTTATCTTGATTTGGAGGAAGACTAGGCCAAGTTCACCCAGCAGAACTAATCTCTTACATGCAAGGAGACCTAAGATGCACTCCACTCATGATTGTGTACAGTTTTTACACTTGTGCATCACTTATTCCCAGCTGCTGAATTTGCAGGTCATGCTGCTTGGCCATAGCCACACCTACAGATTCTTATGTTTGCTTTCTTCATGTAATGGACAGTCTAGATGACTTCAGGAGATAAACCTGTGAACTATCCATAAGCTGATACTCAACGTGCAGAAACTAGCTGAATTAAAGGAAGAAACTGTGGAGTAACTTGGTTCTCTCCAGATGGCCACGTTAGCTGGAAATTAAGAGAATTGCAGTCTAACATATCTGGATAAACCGAGATTGGGTAATGCTGCTACTGTGCTAAATGTTTTTGTGTTTGAGTTTTGTTGTTGTGACCCTATGAATGAAAGTCCTCCAGTTTGTCTTGTCCTTGACACCCCTGCTTAGAACCTGTAAAATTTAAGGCCGTGGCTTCCTCTATGGCAGGGGTCTCAAACTCAACTTACCTGGGGGCAGTCTGGGTGAGGCTGGGCCGCATCAAGTATTCCACCACTGCGGTGGTGGTGGGCCGCTCATCCCGCGTCACTCCTGGAGGCTGGCCTGGGCGCCGCCGGCACTTTGAAGGCCGCAGAGCCCCTCCTGCATGCCCTGCCTGTCCCGGCAATTGGCCCACGGGCCTTGAGTTTGAGACCCCTGCTCTATGGAATTGATCCATCACAAATGAATTTTACCAGTCTCTTAAAAGAGGATTCCCTTTGACTTGAATTTTATTCACTGCTATACCTTAGCTGAAAGCCAATTAACATATTAACTTCTTTCTTAAGCCTATGATTGTATGTCATCAGGTAATCTCATGCCCAGCTGTTTGGAAGCAAAATGGAAGGGACCACCCAAAAAGATAAGGTTGTTTACTTTCACACTTGCACCCTACCCTTTAGCCAAAAATGGTCCAAGGGCAGCCCACAGTTATCTAAGGCTCCTGACGATCTCTACTTTTACATTCATAAGCTTAATTTAAGACATTAAATAAGGGGCAAAGAGGATGGGTCTGTTGTGTGCCCCCTGTGTGTGTGTGTGTGTGTGTGTGTGTAAAAAGATTCCATTTGAGAGCATATTGGTGGTGACAGTTTACTTCCTCTGCAACTCACAGGACAGTTGGCTGCAGTGGCCTCTGTGAAGGAGAGAGGGGCCCTGTGTCT